CCAAGCACCAAGCAGCAACAAACAAACAGCAAGCAGCAAGCAGCAAGAGCAGCAGCAGGAGCAAAGCACCAAGCACCAACCAGCAACAAACAAACAGCAAGCAGCAGGCACCAAGCAACAGCAGCAGCAGACCACCCAGCAGCAGCAGGAGCAAAGCACCAAGCACCAAGCAGCAACAAACAAACAGCAAGCAGCAAGCAGCAAGCAGCAAGCAGCAGCAGCAAAGCAGCAAATGGTTTGGTGTAAACGGTGGTTGGTGCAAACGAAGGTTTTGTGTAAACAGTGGTTGGTGTAAACCGTTGTTTGGTGTGAACTGTGATTTGGTGTACACAGTGGTTGGTAAGTATAAACCATGGTTTGGTGTAAATCGTGGTTGGTGCAATTGAACGTTTGGTGTAATCGGTCGTTGGTGTAAGCGTGGTTTCTTGCCAATGGTCGTTGGTCCAAGCCATGGCTTCGTGTAAAACTCGTTGCTTTGTGTAAAAGTGGTTCAGTGTAAGACTGTAGTTGGTGCAAACAAGTTGCTGCCTCCAAATCTGTGGGCTGGCTTTTCTTCTACATGGCCCTGCCCATGGCCAACTCAAAAGAGAACAACCATTGTTGTTTGATGTCCTCCCGCGTTGCCAACCAAGCAGTAACAAGTAGCAGCAGGCGCAGCGGTCATAAAATCCACCAAGCAGAAGCAGCAGCAACAAATAAACAACCAGCAACAGCTGAGGATGCCTGGCATATTGTGGGATAACAGGTTTGGTGTAAACCGTGGTTGGTGTAAAGCGTGAATTGGTACGAGTGTCAGCCGTGGTTGGTATAGACCGTGGTTGGTGTAAACATGTAAACGGTAGTTGGTAACCAGCAAGCAGCAACAGCGGAGGATGCCTGGCATACTGTGGGAAAACAGGTTTGGTGTAAACGGTGGTTGGTGCCAGCCGTGGTTTCGTGTGAACGGTGGTTGGTGTAAAGCATGCTTTGGTATAAGCCGTGGTTAGTGTAGACCGTGTTTCGGCGTAAACGCATCAGACCCTGTCACACTCACCGGTCCACAGAGGGGAGTTGAACCTGCGGAGGGGGGGGTCCATAACGTTTGAAAGGTCACGTCAACTGTTGCGCATCTTTCATAGTGGGAGGGTGGTGTCGTTGGTGTATCCCTTCTGCTGTCCAAGTTTCTCTTGCGACTTGGGCGAAGGCTCTTCGTAAAGTGCCCCAGGGTCAAACAGCAAATCGACCACGCAAGGCACTTGACCCACTTGCACCACGTTCCTTGGCTCACGATTGTCAGCATCCAGCATCCTAGTCCGCCAATACAAACCAATTGCAGTAATGTTAAATTAGCGCGGATGAATGCAAGGACTCATGCAGGGTCCTCAACATTGAAGTTTCAAAAATCAGGACACAAAACTCTCGTTTTGAAGCAAGCATCAGGGTTACTTCTTGCTGCCGCTGCAAGGTGCAAGCAATCATGCCCAGCCAATCTGCGACGGCCTCCGACACATGCAGATTCTACATGTTTCATGGCAAGCCTGGTTGACTCCAACCGCTGGTAGATAGCACTGTCAGGCCAGGGGGCCTGTTGTTGTTGTTGTTGTTGTCTCCTGCATTGTTCATCACAATCTTTCACTGCGCAAGCCTTGAAGAGCACGGCACGTTGCGGGACCAGCGCTGCACCAGTGGTGCGCCGCTTCCGCTCAGGCGAGCCAACCTCCTTGGTTCCGGGCTACTGTCTCAAAAGCGGAGTGACGCTGAGTACACTGCTCCAAACGTCACGCTGTTCATCGCTTTTCCATCCTTCCTCTTGCTGGTGCAGGAGAACATGGTAGCTACAAACGACTGTCGCAACATTTTGGGAGAAAGGACTCAATTCTGATCTCTGTTGCTACCAGTACCGAGAAGAGAGGCCAAGCACGCTCATGTTATTCAAACAGTGTCAATATAAAATGGGTTGTAACAGGTAAGATGTATGTCAAGAGATGTATATATTTCAAAAAATACCTATGCTCAAAAAGGTAGGTGTTTTGAGGAGCTGTCTAAAAGGGTCTGGAAATTCGGACTTCACAAAAATGACTGTGATGGAAATGTAGTCATGAAATATTCATGAACAAATAGGACAAAATCGGACAGGCGCACATCAAGGTAGGAAGCTCTTTTTAATCGAATTGTTGTCTTTGGTTTCATCCAGCTTCCAAGAACGAAGTAAAAAAAAGCATCAAGCATGAAAAACATCAAGAACAATGCCAAAAAAATGACCCCCCCGAAGCCCTCAACCCCAAACCACCCAATTTATATGGAGCAGTGGCTCCATAGAAACAAATATGATGCTTGATAAGCAGCTGACAAATTGAAACATGTCTCTTGCATGGGTTTAGTGGTTATGTACGTTTGTAGTCTGCTGTCGGGCTGGTGTTTCACCAGTGGTTTGGAAATAACTTTGTGGTGATCACACCGTTTTGCTCTCAGAATGCATTGCATTTTTCTGATATGATATGTTTTACCTTGTGGCTGAGGTCTTCTCGCCCTTGTTGATTGTTCTTTGCCGGGTCCTGAGGCCAAAAACCGGTGCACGATGCATGTTTCTGGAACATTCCTTCGAAGGGTACGTCAAGAACTCAAGACAAATTGAGTTGAAAAGTTGTGGTCATCTTAAGTTTTGTTTCGTTTTTGTCCAAACATTCGTTGATGCCAGTCTGGGACTTATACAATAGATTCTTGTTCCTGACCCAGCGCGCAGGGGTTTCCAATGCAGAAAAACATATACTGTATATATATATATATTGTATATAGATATCTTAGATATATATATATGTGTGTGTGTAAACAGGACATCCAAGATCCAATAAACATTTGAGGATAAAACATGCCATGCCTTGAAGTGTCCTTGAAACCTTTGTTAAACATGACGTCCGACAATGTGTTCTTTACATTCTTGAGGATTTTTATGTAGTCTTTTTGAGCCTCAATGAAACTGTTATTTCATCATGTTAATTCAGTGTTATAAACTATAAAGCAATATCACATGGGTTTAGCTCTCCAAAGCACAAACAGCCAAGAATATAATTTCAGTGTGAACACCTTTTAACTTTCAACACTCAAATTATCCGGAAGTCATCTTGCTTCTTCACATGAGTCATAGAAAATTACAAATCGTGCTTAACCACACCATACCACACCCATTTTAGATTGTCATAGATTGTCGGTAGCAACGGGGATCAATTTTGCAATTAGACCCTCTTTGCAAGTAAAGGTGCGCCCAATAGGTCGCCCATTAGCAACTCGCCGTTGGCCTTCCGGTGGTGGGTCACTGACTCGGCATATCGCCGCTCCAAATCCTCTGCTGAGCGCCCGGACCGGCCGCAGGATTCCTCAAAAATGGTCGGAATGGCTGTGGCAACAGGCAACAGCCACACCATGAGATTCGGACGTTTTGTGGATCCCTGCTTTGACCGATAGTCGGTAGGGCCTGTAAGGTGCCAGAATCCATGTTGATGCTACGTATTCGGTGGTGCTAGTAATAATGAACAAAAATATCTGGATTCGGCTTTACGTTGCCCTTGTACTGACATTGTTTGCACCCACAGCGTCCTATATGTAATCCGATAACCGACAATCCAAAAGTGGAGAAGGAAGTAGGGTCCTTTCTCCAAGCGGAAGAGTTGCGCTTCCCGGAAGCCCAACAACCTATCCAGCCCGTCAAGCTTAAACGCCCCTGAGCCAACGTGTGCACCAAACGCACCCATCAAAGCAGCTGAGCGGTTGGGCTTCACTCGTACAATCTTCCACCACGGCTGAAGAAACCACGTGCGCAAAGCAAGTTGTACCCTTGCATGCTCATATCCAAGAGTCTGAAACAAGCAACGCAAGCACCATCGCTTGCGCTGCCTCGTCCTTCGGCAGACTTCTACCGAGGAGCGATCGATTGTGGATGTGGATTCCCCCAAGAGAGGCCAGAGGCATTGATCAAATCATATAGCGGAATAAAATGGAGCGGACAGCCATTACTGAAAACTTCCGATTGTATAATGAACCCACAAGCCTCCGGAAAATGGCTGCATTGCATTGGCATAAAGTAAGTGCTGATTCATTAGTCGAAAATGTTGGGCAACACTTGTGGTTAAAAATTGTGCTTTGGAGCGCATCCTCGCAGGACTAAGCATTGTCACAAATATTCAGGTAGCACCCCCAAGCAAAACCTTGCATAGTAATCCTTATGCCTTGCATGCAAGTTTCAAAGACGAAAGGAGCCGCCAATCTGGCAAAGCAGGATCGGGACCACTTCCTACGTCTAGATTGGCGGCTCCTTTCCTCGAAAAACTCTGATCAAATGCCACCCCTGGTCCCAACCCAAAAGTAATCAGTGGATGGCGGATGGAGGACAAAAAAATACGGCAACACCATGCCAGTAGAACGCCTTTTTGAAAGCAAAATGTTGCTCTCTTGAAGCTCTGAAAAAGAGGGCTCATCTAATGGGCCTAATGGGCAAAAGGAAACAAAACAATGGAGATAAGGCTTAAAAACCTTACAAGAAATGTTTGCTAAATATTCACACAACAAATGAAGACCTACATAATTCAACTCAACAAGTACAAACCACAAAGAATGTCACAAGAAATGAAATGTCGTAAAGTCGAAAAAACATCAACAGTAGAGCAAAAAGAAAACAAGCACGTGGAATCCTACCGAACCTAAAAAATCTAAAAAACCATTCCAATTAAATTTACATGAATCTACATTGGTGGAAGATTTTATTGTCCAGGGAGGGTAATTTCTTCTGTTTTCCTTTACTGTTTTGAAATGCTGGATCAGAGTGTTCTGCATTTGTACTGGGTGACGGGGTCCATGGCATCTCTTGCAAAACAAGTCCTCTACTGTATGGAGTTGTTTTCATGATTGAAGCAGAATAATGTTGGAACCAGCAGAAACTGTTCTTTTGCGATGCTTTCTGTGTTGACAGTCCTTGGCCTTCCGCAGCTTTTTGCGACACCTTTCAACGAATGAGTCGAGGACTTCATCCTGGCGGCGATCCAGCAGGAGACCTGAGGCGTCTGCATACGGACAATGTCAGCATGTCAGCAAGCAGCACACGCGCCAAATTCGGGGATTCCGCATCATGAAAAGGAGAATCCAGTGTTTCTATGTCAAGTCTATGTCAAGTCAACAGGAACACCTGAAAGCGACGCAAGTTCAACTGGACCGAGCAACTAAATTGACTCCAAAAGGGGAATGGGCATCATGATATATAGTAATACTGTAAGATGTATGAAGCTTTTGTTCTAGGATGTTCTAGGGAGTTTGTGTGCTGCTACAGGCTATAGTTAATGAAGGTTCAATGGCAGAATCCACAAGATTGCAGCTGGGCAGAAACTGGGCAGGCATTTCGTGGAATTCAAGTCAAGCAGCTACCCCGAAAAGTATGGGATGAAGGTCGCGCACACGAAAATGCCGGCAAACAAAAACATATCGCTGACACTCGCCGAGCATAGGGAAAATAACATGAACTACCACATGGGATCTCTCTTTTGCAATCCTTTGATCCGATATCTGGTGGTTTGTAGGGCGGATGCTGAAGCTGAAAGCCACACACAGGCCGGGAGCCCTCCCGCCACGGCCAGCCCCAACCGCTCGACCGGATCACAACCGTTTACGCGGCAACCATGCGGCATTCCATCGCATCCGTTGACCGCTTTTCAGGGCCATCTCTGAAACCGTCCTGTGTTCAGTGAACCGGATGTTCCACGAAGGGTGGCCAAAAGAGCAATAGCAGGCTATGTTGCTGCCCTGTTGGGATACATGTGGCATCAATTCTCACACAAAGGAAATGTCACTCACTATCCCTGCCCTCCAAACTTCGATGCACAAATAACTCGCAATATCTCGCAATTCACCGGCCAGTGTGTTCCAAATTCATCCGGTCCAATGCCGATCTCTGATCTCTGCACGGATCTAGCCAAGTGGAACGGCTTTCTGTTTCATTGCAGCCAAACGAAATTAAGTTGGCAAGATCACCCATCCTCAATGCGTTGATTGATGTCCAACTTGCCTCAGGGTTCGAAGAGCCACCCACCCCTAGCTGAAAGGGGCAACTGTGCTCAAACCATCAAAGCGGGAACGTACAGTAACAGGTTGGGATTGTTTGGATTGGTTGACTCGCACTGCCTAGGTCAAAAACCAGCAAACGAGACCACAAGCTGGATGAATGGGATTTGGGTGTTCAATGAAGCTGAGCTGCCTTGCTCGTGATAAATCTGTGAGATTCGCAAAGCCGGCTGATCCGCTGACGCTGCCATTGGATGGAGGAGAAATCTCGGAATGTGGTAGCGTGCAAGAGATCATACATTGAATTATATATATATATTGTTACGGCAATCTTACGCAATGCTAACATTCAGCGGCACCCTGATTCAATAATACATAGAGTTCCGATATTGACTTAGTCCAGTACAACAAACCCATGAACATGCATGCAAACAGTTGCTTTCAATCTTATAGAAGTGCTTGCTGCGTACAGCCCTTGGTTCAATCCGGCAACATGTATAGATCATGGCCTCATACAATAAGAAAAGAGTTGGTCTTTCTGTTTCGGCTGGGTGGCTTGCTTTAAACCAAAAGACCGACGACATCATGCTGCAAATGCATGGGCGTGTACGCTTCGTGGTACTTAGACTCAGACTTAGATGCAACAGATGAGCCCCGCAACCTCTGCCATTTGCGCCCACCTCTGCCTTCACAAAGTAGAAGGTCACAAGCCCTAGGGAGACTGCCTGGCGTCTCAGCGCCGAAGAGGTGAAGAGTTGTGAAAAGACACAGCTGCACAGTGCAACCCTCTATCAAAACCAAGGGGAAAACGTGTCACACTTTCCAGTCACCCTTTTATTTGGATCTGACTTCTGAAAGCTCGGCAGCCAGGACAACTACGCAGCCCCTCTCATACGACTAAATCTACGCCATTGGAAGTCGTGAACCCATGTTCACAGATTCTCCGCATTCTTCAAGGGCCATGCTTCCCTCGGTCGTTGAGCCAAAGAAGAAACTAGGCAGAAGTGCCACGAGGCTGCACCACTGCTGCAAGGAGTATCTGGGCCAAGAGCCAACAGCCAAGCTTCGAAGTTAAGTTGGGATATGCTGGGATGCAGTTGAAATAAATATATACACCTATACATATGAGCTATGGAATTTATTTCCGTTAAACTACAACATGGACCTTCCTTACCTCCTTCTCCAATCCCGCATCATTTTTGTTGTGTGATCTCGTTCTCCATTCCTGTGGATACCCATCTCGTTCTCGATAGGTGTTCCTACCTCGTTTCACAAGCTAAACATGTCATTAACCAAACCATTTCAAACAAGTGGCACATTTGATGCCCAATCTCGTTCTCGGGGTGTTCCTACCGCGTTTCGCCAACTAAATCTGACATTGGGCTATAGAAAAGGAACGCCCCTAGACTAATCTTCACTACCGCAAACAAAAGCCGTTGCTCATATATATATATATTATATATATATATTTATTGTATAATATTGTATATTAAATTGTGTGTGTTAAGCTACATAGCTCATCCAATCCAAGGTCAACTGGTGCATCAATCATATGAAGGTCAACTCGTGTCAGCTGGGAACACTACCGACATGTTTTCCCACCGAGCCTTCGCTTGAAGAAGAGTGCAGTGCTCACTCCCACCTCAACCACCAACAGGTGACCAGGCAAGAATCTTGCGTGATCGCGGATAATAGCATCACTGCTGGCTGGCCCTTCCAATCTTTGTAGAAGAAACATAGCTGTGTGGTGAGGATCTAAAAACTCTGTTTGGCGGAGACATATTCCTATATATTCCTGTGCGCCGTCACTTGTGATGTTTCTTCAGAGCTTTGGACTCCTGGTCGGGCTTGAATCACAATCCCCCTGAGGGTGTGAACCAGCGGCAAGCTGGCTTGTCCAAAGACTCGAACAGTACCTGATGAGTCAGAAGTTTGATGCTCGGTCGCGGTCAGGAAAGCCGCGGACCGGTATGGAAGAAAAGAAAACGATTAAAGAAATGGCGAGAACGGCGCACCTGCATCTAAACGGCCCAAAGAGTAGACCAGAAACAGCTTGCTCAAACAGAGGCATAAGGAGACCTCAACAAAGTCTGGCAAGCATTTCAAAAACAGTCTGGCACTTAGGGCATCTAGCACTAGCCTCTGAAGACAGCAGACTCTTGCGTCATCCTCTGGATGGCAGCATTTTCCACCCTTCAATGTGTCCATCACAGTACATTTTCAGGCTGAGCAAAGCACTGGCAGCTGTCTGGTCACAGCCTGCCAACTGCAAGGAGATGCAAAAGCTTGTGATCAGCGCTGTGTTTTCTTGCTTTCAATTCAAGGAGTCTGCTGCGAAACTGATAATAATAGATAAACGTCCGTTTGCGACTCCGCTCCTGCAATGATAGGAGGCGAAGATTTAAGAACGGACTTGGGGAAAGGCAGGTTACAGGTGACATTGTAAGAACGGACGTGGTAAAAAGGAGATGGCGAAGATAGGGAGCAACTGTGAGTGAACAGACTTGACTGTAATGTTGACAAGAGGATTAAGTAACCTCCCCTTATTAATCAAGCCCAGCTCGAGCCCCCAATACTAAACTATATAATTAAGACCTGGTACATCACCCTAATAACTTTTCTGGCAGAAACCTCCCCCTATTAATCAAGCCCAGCTCCCCCAGAAAAAGAGTATTGTTTCTATATATGTTTATTTTATTTTTGGCTAGCATCTAATATCTTCAGGTCCAGGTCCTCATCTCATCATCCATCATCAGGTCATCATCTTTATTAAGGGGATGTGGTCTGCAATCCCTCCAAAACCAAACCTTGTTGACCTGGTTGACCTTGAAGGGGGGGGTTGATTAATCCGGTGTTGACATTGAGGTTGGCGCCAGGTTGTTTTGCAAAGCAATTGCCCCACTTTTTGCCAACATGGTGTCTCAGATTTAACTGATACGACTCCCACTCCCAAATCCCTGGGCACATAGCACTAGTGATGACAGTCTCGTTTCCTACCACAAAGAATCATCCAAACATCTGACTACAAAATGGGGGGCCCGCAATACGGACCCTCCCCGACTCCCCACCTTAGGATCAAGGCACCGAAGCACACGAGGCCGCCAATCATCACGAAGCCTGCTGGATACTCTGCTGGATGTTGGCAGTTGCTTTTGGCTCCACAACAAACGTTAACAGTCAGTGAATGAGTTTTAAAACTCGAATCTGTTATGGGGACTGAGCACCTCGTTTCTCGATAGCTCTTGTTGTTTTGAATCTGTGCCTGCCTCACCCTGAGGTCGGAGGAGATATGTGGCCCCATCGCAATACCAAGGCCCACAAGCAAAGACAGCGCTGTCTGCACCTCGCAAAACCATTAATTAAGCATAATTGTTTGATTCGACAAGATCCTGAATCAATTAAAAAAATGCACAACTGTTCATACTTGGGCAGTAATGCACTAGGCTTTTATATACATGCATTCACAATGGCTTCAGTGTGCAGAGCTCGAAGCATCAGAACGCGTCAATAACAACAAAAGACAAGTCAGAGTTAGACGAGGAGATCACTCATGCTGGCATTCTGACTCTCCAGCTCTTGTGCCGATGACTTGTGTTTTCAATCAGCCGCTTCGAGCCATGTCATCAACATCTTGGCTTCCGCACCAGCACGAATGTGCCTTGGATAAAGCTGGGCTCACCTACCTGGACAAAGACGGCAAAAGCCAAGAAATTGTTATAGATTTCCAAACTGCATACTGCATGGTGTACACCAATGATCCACTTGACTCAGCTTGACTCGACTTGACCTCCTTGCCCCAAAGAGTCTCCCAAAAACCTGCCAGCTGCACGGCATGTGCTGTGTTTGCCCAAGTCACCTTGGCACCCAAAGACATCTGCAGGGCTCACCAGGCGGCCCACCCTTTAGAAAGATCGAAGCTGAAAGCATCTTTGCTACACAGGTGCATCAGTCAGAAGGAAAAATCTCTAGGCAAAAGCCTTGCAGGAGTGTACCTATAGGTCTAGTTTGAAGGTCTTACACCCAACACACTGGACACTCAAATGATCTTCCACCAAGGTGCCAGGATCGGCTTCAAGGCGTCCAAAATGATGAAGCATGACACCACCAGCCAAAGTCCGTTCACAGTCTGCCCTGAAAGAGGGCAAAATTTCTCGAACATCACAATATGTTCTAGTTTTCTTGCCATTTCAAGCTAGCATGTTCTTACTCTGGCTACCAAGCATCCCCCAAACCTGACCCATGGATGATTACACCAATAAGTCACAAAGCGAATCAAGTGCAGCTCCTGATTGCGGACAATGTCTGAATGTCTTCATCATAAAAGGCGGCCCAACTCTTTCTGCAACTGATTGCAGTGATGCTGAAGTCTTTGCCTGTGCGTAGAGCTTCCGGTGATAACCCTCTGGACGGAGGGTTCAAAGTCCTCGAACCAGTGAAGCCAACCGACAGGTCATGCAACGAAAGCAGCACGAAGTGTTGGTCCATGTCTGGTTCTGCATCCCTTGACCTTCCTTCTCATTTATCAACACTTGGATTGTCATAGGTCTGGCCTTCCAAGACCCCGGCAAACACAGTTAAGACATGCTGCTGCTTTAAAAAATCTATCATTCCATCTTCCCAACTCAGCCGCAGACTTCGGTATTGGTCGCTCCGTGGCGATGATCTCTTTGGATCCCGGACGGTAGGCGACCTCGTCGACGACGGAAGGAACAGCACTGTCTCGCGCAAACGGGCTACTACTAGCGACGGCGGTTGTTCTGAGGCCGCCACGGGCTGCTCAGAGCCTCGCAAATGGGGGAATGATCTGATTAACTAGAAACACCAAGTTCTGCTGATTTGCAGCTGGAATGTGCAACCTTTAATCCTTTTGCTGCAAAATCCAAGATCTCTTGTGGTAATTGTGGTGTGCATGTGTGAACACAAACATACATACATACATGCAAACATCCATACATCCATACATACATACATACACACATACCTACACACATACCTACACACATAACATACATAACATACACAACATACATAACATGCATAACATGCATACCATACATACCATACATACCATACATACCATACATACATACATACATACATACATACATACATACATACATACATA